AACGAAATAAAAATTTCAATGAGAATATCGATTACAAATTGGAACTATTTTTCTTATTTGTATACGTAGTATAAATACTTACGACGTATTTATTATATGACAATTAAAATTCATCGATCGTTCAAGATAAACTGCGAGAGGAATATTTTTCATAGTAACTCTTATATCGCCATATTCCGGTGCCTAAAATTAAGTAAAAAATTATAAAATATAATACAAATTACGAAGGAAATAAATTACAAACCATTCTTTGTAATTGACTTGTTTGTAATCTTCCTCTTTCTCCCAAATTACTTCTCCAAACAATATCTAACTTTCCAATGTTTGTCGCATTATGCATCATTTTTGGATCTTTCAATAAACTTAACTGTGGTTTTAAACAATATAAATATTGTCTACTGCAATCGGTATCTAATATATTAACCGATCCATAAATAGATTCACCCTTTTCATTTGTATTTAACGTCGATACTGAAAGTATAAAAATGATAATCGTACAAATTCAAATTCACAGTAATATAGAATAAACATTTCAAACAAACTCACCGCTAAACAAATGAGACGATTCGAGCGACACTTTTTCCAAACAAATTGGTCCAGCTGTAAGATTCTGTATTTGCGCTTCCAGATATACTTCGTCCGACTTCAAGAAAATTATAGAAATTATTTTAATCGAATATCGCTGTTATAAAAACTATATCACGAGCTTACCTCCGCGTTATAAAATTTTGTCTTAACATCCAATGGTTTTATTACTTGAAATTTAAAATATTTTCTAAACGATTGTGGAGTACTGCCTAAATTTGCCAGAGTATAAGTTACTTCGCACACTAATCTGGAAAGATATATATTAATTAATTATTTTCTAAATATTTGTTACAATTTTAGTGACTATGGCTTCTTACATATGGGTGCCTATTTCTTTTACTTCGTGATGTATGACATCGTCAACTGTATTATCCGGTGCTAAATCTTTCATTTCTCTATTGTTGCCACAAAGAGATATCATCTGAGTACTTGTTTGTAAGTCTGCCTATAATATGAAATATAGTATTGTTTACAAGTTTTATATAAAATGTTGTATACATATGTTCGTGGAATCTAATCGATATATCTCTATAATCGACTTACTTTAACAGTAACATCCTTTACCAACTGATTACTACCATTGTGTACACAAAGATAACTTGAAAATATCTCTCCCAAATAAATATTTCTGAAAATATAATTTTAATATTAAGTTATTCTCTGTAAAATTGTATTTAAGTAAATAAATATGTATATGTAATTGTTATACCGTAGAATTTATATATAAGATATAAATAGTTGATTATAAGTTAAATATAAATTTTAATTTTAATATATATTCATAGATGTACCCAAAACTTTGTGGTAATACCATAAACTGTCCTATCGCGAGAGTTTCCATTCCTTGCAAAGCAGTACAATCGTTCTTAAGCTCATTATTTAAAGTATTACCAGGAAGATCTGTCGAATCACAAGTAACAACTATTGGACTTGCAAGCATAGGCCTTGTTAATCTCATTACTAAAAAGAATACAAAATAAAGATTGGTATTATTCTAGTTAATATTAAAATAAATAATGTTCCATCTTCTTTCAATTCAAAGCGACAATAAAATTATTCTCATCACCTTTTAATTCCAACGGATGTTCACTTTTTGGTTTAGTTTCCATTTAGATTACGAAAGATAAATAGCAAAGGAGTTTAAAAAAATAAATCCTTATTAATGTCAAACGAGAACAGAGCTGTCATGGAATGTTGCTTATTGTTAGAAAATATAACCTGTATAACATACATAACATTCGATTCGATTCGATTTGTTGAATCGATAGTTTGACAAAAAATGTTAGATTGTTCTTAAAAACAATATTTAACGAGCATTTTGTTAATTTTCTTAGTCTCTTTTTTTGCAAATTTAAAAATAATCATAAGTATTATATATGTAGAAATTTGAGAAAAACATGAGAAGAAACGATACGATACAATACTTTCAATTTCACAAATTGTTTGTAATAAAAATATATATAATAAAAATTAGTAAAATCTATATCGTTCAATAAGATATTTAAACATCAAATATGATACATTCAATGCTATAATAAGCATGTATAATATTGAAAAAGATAGGATTAAAAATTGTATAATACGCAACATAACTTAACAAGAGGGCGTACATGATGTTTCCCGTACAGTATACATAAACGTATTATACACATTTGTAATTCAAAGATTAAATAAATGTGGATTTATTTTGAATTATTTAATCAAGTTATAAAAATACGCATATTTTTTCAGTTTCTTTATGTTTTGTACATTAAAAATAAACAATTATATCGTTTGGTAATACAATAATAACGACTTCATGATAATTACTAGCAAAACTTTTGTCACAAAATGTGTTTACAAACATTGTGTGAGCATGATATTTTCATTTTATTTGTGACTTTATTTAATTATAATATTTAATAAAATGAGGAATGGCTGAATTACATATAATTGGTCGAATTTCGTCGGCAAAAGATTTTAAACAACCACGACTTTTATGCAAGTGGAGTTTTCATGCTGGTAGTAGAATTTTTATTGTATAAAATGTTTATTTGCTACATATTATTTACTATTTAGTTATTTACTACATATTATTTACTTAATTATTATTTATTACATATATTTCATATATTATTTATTACATATATTTCAAAATTCTACTTTCTTTATAGGTAGTGGATGGAAAATTTTAGATGGTTGCGAAGAAGGACAAACTCAAGAAAGTTGCGATTTATATACTAACGAACCAGTTTGGGATCATCCCGTAGATTTATACTATACAACGCAAACTCTTCAAAATTCACCAAAACTTTTGTTGCAAATATTTCATAGGGATACATATGGAAGAATATTATTTGGATCTTATGGTATTTGTAACATTCCTTTGTCTCCTGGATTACATTTTATAAAGTGTCATACGTGGAAACCAATTGGTAAATTAAATATTTTCTAAGAGAATTTTATTGCAATTTTATATGTATATTTTACATGCATTTTATCTTTAACGTGTAGGTAATTGGAAAGATAGGTTAAGAGATAAGTTTTTAGGAATAACTTTACAATTGAAATCACCAAGTGTTTTGATTAATTCCTTGGACAGATTTGAGTTACTTACAGAAAGTATGGGTACGATTAAAATTGAATTGCATATACTCGCACGAAATTTTGAAAAATATGGATGTCATATGTGAATACACGTGTCGATTATTGGTATATGTTAAAAAACATGGAGTAGAAATATGCAACAATTAACATATCCTGAAGTGTGAAATATATAAAAACATAAGTCACTATGTTTTTAATAAAATTTATATTAATGTTTTTATATCTTACGTCGAATGAATCGATATATGCAAAGAAAGTTGAAGAAATATTTACATGTGTAAATGAAACAGAATGTGTGTATATTTTAGAAGAAACTTCAAGCACTACTGTGGATAATATTTATGATACAAATAATATTATTAGTAGTTCTACGTATCCAACGCAAACTCCAACGTTTCAATTAGTACCAACTACGCAAGTGCCTCGTAAAACTAGGTTCGGTAACGAAGCAAGAAACCAAAGTGTATATAAAATAGATTCTGACATATGCGAATGTGATTTAACGGTAAATTTTATTTCTTAATATCTGATATTTAATATCGAATGCATAATTTTTTTATTTGATTAAAAATTATTTATTTATATAATAGGTATCATCTTGTGACATTAATTGCTGTTGCGATAAAGATTGTAACAGCTTTCATTTAACTGTGTTTTCATATTGTGAAAGTCGTCAACCAGAATTATTCGATAAACGTTATTGTTATAATAGAAATTTTATACAACGAAATAATACTCCGTTTATACTTGAAAAATTGGCAAATAATCTTTTTTGTATTTTATATGATAATCTCCCACCTACTTACGATATAAACTATGAATTGGTAAGATTAAAATTATGAACGTCGAACTAAATTTTATCGCGAAATTTTTTATTTTATTTAATTTCATACAGGATATAAAAACTGCAGAAGATTTAAGAGAAGTAACGAATTCAAATAGACCAACGTGGAAATGGACAGATCGAATATATATATCTGAATATAATACTTTCAGTCCTTATCAAGATGGTGATGTTACGTGGATAATATCTAACAATTATATTCAACCTTTTGGTATGTATCACGTGCAATGTTATATTTACCAATGTGAAGATCTTTTTTATGTGAAACTAATATTTTATCGATATTTTTTTTTAATTAAGAAATTCTACAATCTGGATTTACCGCATTGTGTTCTTTTAAGAAAACTTTAAAATATCTTCGTAATTGGAAAGATCGGTGTTTGCAAACTGAATTAATTGACACGAACAAGTTCCTATTTCCCATGGCATTTAATAATTTTACAGTTATAACATCTCCTCATTTATTGAATGAAACTCATATTTTGGTATCGGATCAGGTATATAAGAAACAGTGACGCTTCTTAAAAAGTGGTATGTCAAATTTTTAAAAAATAATAACACTGAAATAATTTGCAGGTTTGTCCCAAAAATGTATGTTTAACTTTAACTAATTATTATTGTAAACATTGGAAGACTTGTAGCAATAATACTTCATTGGGATCATGTTCTAATGGAAAGTGTCGCAACGTTGTGACAGGTGTAAAATATTTAATTATTCATAATGGTTCTATGGGAATTAATCGTGTTGATGTATACTTTGATATAGGCAATGTTTCTCGACATTTTTACCAACAATTTGAAGTAATTTACGAATGGGTAGAATTGGACAAAGAAAAGAGTTTCTCTTTGAGTGGTAATCCTGGCTATATTATTGGAAAACCGTTAATTATTGGCACTTTAAAAGTAAATAAAAGTAATAATATAGAGACTAGATATATCAGTTTTAATAAAACTAGTAGTTTTTTGACATTACCTATAGCTACAAAATCTGGCGAATGTAACGAGATCGACAAATATACTCTTGCTTTCGGGGAGGATATTAAGTTAAAGTGTTCTGTATTTTTACACGCTAATAATTTCAGTACAGCATCTTGTATAAAATTACAAAATCTAACTATGCATTTTTTAATGCAAGATACTTTGTTCAACGTTACACAGACGAATCAATACAATATTTATGTTGCTAAGTCAGGTAATTTTTCTAGTAATGATAGTACTGATTGGGCACAAATTTTATTGGATAGAATACCACAAAATGTTATAGTAGGACAGTTTGTTAATGGTCGGTTATATTGTTCAG